GAATATATCCAGAATTTGTCCAGTATAAAATTTTGGACAAATTCCGGACATAGTAAAAATTCAGATAATTTGAGCTGGACAAATTCTGGACGCTACTTCCAAAAAAGGATAAATTAATTTTGTAAAAAATTGCAAAAAGCACAAGACTGACATTCATAACCTTCTTTGTCATACTAATTAAATTTGCTGAGCAGGCAAAAATACTATATATATATCTATGATATAAAACTTTAAGTTAAAAGCAATTATAATGATGGTCACCTGTTGATCATCTTTTTGTGCCAAATTTTATGAAAAAATATTTCAGGTCAATTTCCGGACAGATTCTGGACAAAATGAGTGTCCAGAAACGATTGTGTTTTTGGAACAATTTCCGGACATGGTACCTGGTATTTTCTTGACATTTTCTGGACAATTATTTAGACAAATTTTCTGGACAATTTCTGGACAATTTCTGGACACTTATTTTTTATAGGGAATAGTCATTCTTTTTTGGACATTGTAGCAGATGAAGCAATATTTCATAGATTAATTAAATGCAAAGAAAAATGGCCACATATAAGACCGCTTCTAGGTCAGTGGCATACCTCCAAAGACTTTTGTTCAGTATTAATAGTTCTATTCTTTAGTTATGGATTATTAAGTTTAGCATCATGCCTAGGTGTTCGTTTTTTAGATAAATTTGAGTCTGCAGTTGACTTTAAATCAACAGCACGAGTATTAAACCTTATATGGGTGGCGGTAGGAATAGCAATAAACATATATATTACTGAAAAAGGAATATTATTTTCTGAAATAATGAATAGTGATAACATTTGTCTCAAGGTATATATCAAAAAATATGGAAATTTTTAGATAATTTTTAATTTTAATTTTACTTACTAATGTCAATCTTTAGATATGGAATTTGTATTATCAATGGGCCGGAATCTGGAAGGCATATTGGATGGGGATTCAGGTTGGAAATTTTGATTTACAACGAGATTCTTTATCTGCGGCTGGATCTCTTTATGCAAGTGCTGCAAAATCGAATTACACAACGGCAATCGCACATTTTCTTGCTACAATTGCAGCTCATCCACAACTAGAAGAAAAATTACGTTATTGTGGTGCTTTTAAGATTCCATATGATGCTGACAGTGATTCTGAAAATGTGCGTCATGTTTGCTTTGGATTCGATGAAGCTCTAGAGACATTTGGTGTAAGATTTATTAAAGGAAATATTAGTGGTAATGTTATTGATGAGAAGAACGTTAAAATTCAAATAAAAGCATTGCAAAGTGAAAGGGAAAGAATAGATCTTTTAATGAGTGAATATCTTGATGATAATTCAATTTCATACAGTGAGAAGGCAATTGAATCATGACAAGAATCCTTGTGGGAACTTGTTAATGACCTAATAGTAATATTTGGAATGGATGATCCATTATCTCACCAACTATTTCAAAATTACCCACCCACAGAAATACATCAGGAGGGACTTGATCGTCTTATTTTGTGTTATTCTAATGGATTGGAAAGAATCAAAGGAATATACCAGCAGAAAGTCTTAAAAATAGAAAGTAGAGTCACTAAAGGTAGAAGAGTAGCGGGGTGGTTAGAACAAAAATAAAAGATTACAATAATCAAAAAAAATTAAAAAAACAGTCTATTCCCGATCCTTCACAATCATCACAAAAAAATACTGATGAAAATTTGAATGAACAATCTACAGACCATTTATCTGATGCTGCTAAGCCACAACCTAAACAAAAAAAGCATCGAACTACTGATGAAGAGATGAAAATACTTTCTGTATTAAAAGTATATAAAGATAAATTGCCGGATGATGCTATTGCTTCTGTTTGTAATCAATTGTCAGAAGTTTGGACTAAAAAAAAAGTGCGAGACTGGTGGAATTATCATAAGGACAAATAAAATGTAATAAAAAAAATATTAAAAACATTTATTTATAAGTTATATGCTTAATTTTACAAAGATCATATTGTAATAAAATAAAAATTCCTCAATTACCACAAAAATTACTAATCTAATCACCTTTTAGCGTCTAAGCAACTCGATTGCACGTAAAAAATTACGTATAATTGGTAATTTAAAACTGTATTTATTTTTCGTTTAGGGGTTGCATCTGGGGTTAAAGCCAAAAAAATAGGTGAAAGTCGTGTATAATAAAGTTTTTTTTTAAAGTGTCTTGTTGTAAAAAAAAGTATTGAAATATATAAATCAAAATATAAAAAATAGAAGTTCGTCGAAGTTTGGATATATTACTTGAAAAAAAAATCACGTTATATTAGACAGGTATTTCGTGTAACTTATTTGCCGATCAATTTTTAATTAGTGGTTAACACGTGATCTGAAATGACCACCGATTGTTAAGCTTTTCCTGATAAATCAAATTTCAATCCCACATATGATGAAATTAATTCTTTGGAGTATTTAAATTGCGTAATTAAAGAAACTTTAAGAACACGTACTCCATGTATATATTTAATTTTAATAATTTTCAAAAAATCAAAGATTTAGTTTTAAACTAAACGATTTTTTACTCTTTTTACCTCAGTACCAACTGCCAGACGAACTAATCTAAAGGATGGAGTTATCGGGAAATACTATATTCCAAAGGTAGATTTATTGATTTTATACGCATATTTATTTTGGATAATATTTAGTTTTTTTACTAACATTTTTTATTATTATTATTATAGAATACTGAAATATTTATTGGGATTTCAGTACTTCAAAGATTAACTGAAATTTGGGGACCAACAGCTGATAATTTTGATCCAAAAAGATGGTTAGATCCTTCTTTAAGTAAAAATATAATAAATTTAAATTATTTAGTACCTTTTCTTAATGGTGCAAGAGGTTGCATAGGTAATAAAGTAGCTTTAGCCGAAGCTAAAATATTATTAGGTATGTTAATTAGGAATTTCATTTTTAAACCAATTGAAGGATTTCAAATTAAAAAAAGAGCTTTCCCTATACCTAAACCTGATCCATATCTTGGTTTAGCTGTATCTATAAGTTGAATCTTAAATTTGTTTCTGATTTTTTTTTATTTTATCATTATCTGCTTTCTATATATATGTATAAATAAATATAAAATTTATCAACAATCATTTAAACTGCAGCAGCAAAAAACTAAGAGATCTAAACTGGTACTGATAAAGAATATTTTATCAGTTATGACCGGATATGCCATAAAAAAAAAATACTCAATTTCCTTGATACTCTTTTTGTTGTCAGTTTCTACTCCCTATAATATGCTATACGTATTACTTATCTCCTGGCTAATTAGGAATAAGTAAAATTTACTATTCCAATTAGCCAGGAGATAATTGATTTATCCCCTGCCATTTACACAATAGTAAGTGTTTTATAGTATATCGTGAGTATAATATTTTTTTTGCTTGGTTTTTTTTTCATTTTAAAGATTTTAATAAAATAATTGAATTTTAAAAAGCATCGGAACTATTACTATTACACTTGAAAAATAATATTGAGATTACAAATAAATTAAAAGAAAATTTTTCTCATTTGGAAAATGCAAATCTTTCCGAATTACTCAAATTTTCAAATCAGTCCCATTATAGTATAATCAATAGTTAATTTTTACCGCAAAATTTCCTAGAAAACGGATAAATAAATACATATAAAATTTACTACCCAGCAGGTATAACTACATTTGCATAATCGTGTAAATGGTGCCGATCAGGGATAATAAAGTTTATTTTAAATTGTGCAACATATAAAAATATATGATGGTATGATGTCAAATTGACAATACAATGTTTTCATGATTCTAGTTATTCATTTCATAAGAAAACATCGTGACAATTAGGATTTTATTTTTATTTAAAATTACGCCTTAGTTTAAAAATTTTGTCATTTATTTTAAATAGTTCAAGTCAAAAATTATTATTTTTTAAATAAAAAAAGAGAAAATAGTGTGGCTGATGATTATTTGATATTGTGGCTTAACCAATTTTATTTATAATTACTTAAGAGTCCTTTAGTTAAAATTAATAATTTAAGAATAAACCTACGTCAATTGACCAAATATTAGACTATATTTGTAGCTAATGATAAATTTTTAGTAATATTGAAATTAAATTTATTAAATTTCTCCAAGAATCTAAAGAAATTATTGCTAGATGGACGATCAAAATTTGTTACTTTTTTATATTACTTAAAACTAAAGCAAAGTTACATATTTTAAATATGAAATAAAATACTCATAAAGCTTAAAATTATAACAGAGTTTAAATACTCTATTGTTTATATTTCGCTATACTATTTCAAATAAAAAAAATAGATTATATAAACAAATTACAAATTTTATAAAATTTTTTAACAATTTGCTGTAAAATCCCGATTGCAATTTTGCCAAAAATATTGTAAATTCATATATAATCCGGTGTGAAGACTGCTAAATACGATGTATTACATTATTTGAAAATTGATCAATCAGGTTATATTTAATTTTTAATAATGATTTAATTTTATTTTAAAAAAATTATTTATTAAAATTACATAAAGTTTTTGTGCAAAACTTCATAATTGACTAAAAATTACGTTTAGTTTTTTTTTGATTATTTCGGCCAGTATTTTCTTAAGTGATTTGCTAATTCCGTTGTACTCATCTGACATTTTTTATGTAGTTTACAAAACCTTTAATAATACATTTGGCTGAAAGAGTAAAGATTTCATAATGACTCCTTAAACTTTTAGTTAAATAATAATTTATATAATATCTTGTAAGTACATATTCTTTAAAGTCCAAAAATTCACCTGCTGCGACTAGTACTTTAATCTAAATTCTTTTCTGTTTATCGAACATCCTGATATTGTGTTCGTAATCCTATATCTTAATATAATATAATTAATATTTAAGTTATTGTGACACAAAGTTTCCACTCTTTATAATATGTTATATTAATACATTTAATTTTAATTTGTAGAGCATGTAGAAAAGTATTTGGCAAAATTGGAAAAATTTGACGTCATCACCAAGAAAGTCTTTCCTATTGATTTATTCATTTCAAAAAAAAATAAATTATCTTTTTGTACCCGAGTCTGATAGTCAGATAGAAACCGTCAAAGAAAAATGAAAGACAATGTAATTCTTTTATCTAAATAATCTGTTTGTGTAATAAATAGATCAGTTTAATAAAAGAAATTAGGAAACAAATTTATATAAAATATAGATTTGGTTTTCTTTATTGATTATAAAATATTGTAACCTTGATATAAATTCTTTATATTTTTTTTAAAAAAATATTGAGTATCTCTTTAAATATTTACTTCTTTTTATGAATCAATTAATAATAAATTTTATTATTTGTGAGCAGAATTGGCAACAATGATATTTTTTATACAGTACTTAAAGTAAAAAAACAAACAATGAAATACTAATTATTAATATCAATAATATTTTAAATTATTTACTTTAAATATTTGGATAAAAATATAAAACTTCCATTTGAACTATAATTATTTGAAACGTACAATATGATTTGAATATAAAAAAGATATTTAAATCTCAGCTGATACAAATTGAATTTAAAATATATAAAAAATCTCTCATATGATTTTTAATTTTAACAAATGACTGTATATCTGATATATTACTGTAATACTGTTAAATAATTCTTATTTTTATAAAATTATAACTATATAAGAATGTTGAAATTTATTTAGTAATTATATTTGAATATACATACAGTGACACCTCTCTAAGTGCACACCCCTTGGGACCATAGTAAAAAAATAGTAGAATGTGCACTTAGAGAGGGTGTGCATTTATAGAGAGTAAAATATTAAGAGCTCTTATAAGTTGGGATCAGTTCCACCGTGCACTTAAAGAGAATTTATATAGTGCGTGCACTTATAGAGGGTGCACTTATAGAGGTGTCACTGTATTTAGATTACATAATATGTTTGAATTACACATAAAAAATTTTATCCCTCTGTAATGCAGATTTTTTATAACAATGACATCAAAGTGAGATTATATTGAGCCATGCTGCTCCCCAAATTTGCTGCCTTTTGAAATAATTCAAATGCTTTCTCCTTATCAATATCAGTTCCAATTCCATATTGATAACAATCTCCTAAATTATTTATTCCATTTGTATTTCCTAAATCTGCTGCCTTTTGAAATAATTTAAATGCCTTTTCATTATTAATATCAGTTCCAATTCCATTTTTATAACAAAATCCTAAATTATTTATTCCATTTGCATCTTCTAAATCTGCTGCCTTTTGGTACAATTTAAATGCTTTCTCCTTATCAATATCAGTTCCAATTCCATATTGATAACAATCTCCTAAATTATTTATTCCATTTGTATTTCCTAAATCTGCTGCCTTTTGAAATAATTTAAATGCCTTTTCATTATTAATATCAGTTCCAATTCCATTTTTATAACAAAATCCTAAATTATTTATTCCATTTGCATCTTCTAAATCTGCTGCCTTTTGGTACAATTTAAATGCTTTCTCCTTATCAATATCAGTTCCAATTCCATATTGATAACAATATCCTAAATTATTTATTCCATTTGTATTTCCTAAATCTGCTGCCTTTTGAAATAATTTAAATGCCTTTTCATTATTAATATCAGTTCCAATTCCATTTTTATAACAAAATCCTAAATTATTTATTCCATTTGCATCTTCTAAATCTGCTGCCTTTTGGTACAATTTAAATGCTTTCTCCTTATCAATATCAGTTCCAATTCCATATTGATAACAATATCCTAAATTAAATATTCCATATGAACTCCCTAAATTTGCTGCTTTATGATACAATTTAAATGCTTTCTCCTTATTAATATCAGTTCCAATTCCACATTGATAACAATATCCTAAACTATTCATTCCATTTACATCTTCTAAATCTGCTGTCTTTTGATACAATTTAAATGCTTTCTCCTTATCAATATCAGTTCCAATTCCATATTTATAACAATCTCCTAAATTATTTATTCCATTTGTATTTCCTAAATCTGCTGCCTTTTGAAATAATTTAAATGCCTTTTCATTATTAATATCAGTTTCAATTCCATTTTTATAACAAAGTCCTAAATTATTTATTCCAAATGCATTTTCTAAATCTTCTGCCCTTTGGTACAATTTAAATGCTTTTTCCTTATCAATATCAGTTCCAATTCCATGTTGATAACAATATCCTAAATTAGCTATTCCAAATGAATTCCCTAAATTTGCTGTTTTATGATACAATTTAAATGCTTTATTATTATCTATATCAGTACCAATTCCATTTTGATAACAATATCCTAAATTATTTATTCCATATGAATTCCCTAAATTTGCTGCTTTTTGATACAATTTAATTGCTTTCTCCATATCAATATCAGTTCCAATTCCATTTTGATAACAATATCCTAAACAATCTATTCCAGATGAATTTCCCAAATCTGCTACTTTTTGAAATAATTCAAATGCCTTATTATCATCTATATAAGTTCTAATTCCCTTCCTGTAATAATCTACTAAATTATTTATTTCATGTGAATTTCTTAAATCTGCTGCTTTTTGATATAATTCAAATGCCTTATTATTATCTATATCAGTTCCAATTCCCTTCCTGTAGCAATCTACTAAATTATTTATTCCATATGAATTTCCTAAATCTGCTGCCTTTTGATATAATTCAATTGCTTTTTCATTATTAATATCAGTTCCAATTCCTTTTTCATAACAACATCCAAGATTATATTGAGCTATAATATATCCTAAATCTGCTGCCTTTTGATACAATTTAAATGCTTTCTCCTTATCAATATCAGTTCCAATTCCTTTTTCATAACAACATCCAAGATTATATTGAGCTATAATATTTCCTAAATCTGCTGCCTTTCGATATAATTCAAATGCCTTATTTTCATCAACTTCAATCTCAATTCCTAAATAATTAAAATCTCCAAGTAAAGCAATAGAATTTGAGTAATGTTGATTATTTAATAGCCAAATATATATTTCTTGTGAAGTAATATTATGATTGTTAAGATAATTATAAATGTTTTGTCTATCTACATTTATCCATATCTTATTAGAAAGTTTAACCATTTCATCAGTTCGTATCATAAAATTATTGTTTAATAACATTAAAGGTTCCATGTCTTCAGTATTCATTTTGTTAAAATCTTGAATAAATTTGGATAATTCACCATGTGATAAACTTCCAAAGGCATCCAAATTAAGTTGCTGTTTATTTGATAATTGGATGTTTGTATGAGAATCATTTAATAAAGAATCCTTTAATAAAATTTCATTAAAATCTTGAATAAATTTGGATAATTCATCATGTGTTAAACTTTTAAAGGCATCCAAATTAAGTTGCTGTTTATTTGATACTAATTGGATGTTTGTATGAGAATCATTTGACAAAGAATCCATTGATGAAGAATCCTCTATAATCATAGTATTCTTACTGTTTTTTAGAATAATTTCATTTAATTTAGAGACTACATGATTGATAGTTGGACGATTATCTGGTTCATTATTCCAACAATCTAAAAAATATACATATTAATTAGATTAAATAATAATAAAACAAATCATAAGATTATATACTAATTATATTTACCAGTATAAATATTTAAATAATCTATAGGTGTATCGGGAATGGGCGTCTCTCTAAAGCCTTGTGATATACTAAGTGCTAAACAAATATCATATGGTTTACCTTCAGTATAAAAAGGAGGTTTACCACTAGATATCTCCCATAAAAGTACTCCAATACTATAAATATCGCTTTTTTCATTTAATTTATAATCTCCATTACTAAAACTTTTTGGGTCAATATAAGGCATTATTCCAAATAATTTTGAAGAACGGAAGTTAGATGATTCTTCAATTCTCTTTGATAGACCAAAATCAGCCAATTTAATCATATTTTGATGAACTAATACGTTTTTGGAATGCTAATTTATATTAATAAATAACCATAAATTTATTAATTATTATTCAACAGATATGATAAACTATAAAATATGAAATTGTAAAATGAAAACAAAATTACCAGATCACGGTGAATAATTTCTTCATCATGTAAGCATAATATAGCACTGGCCAATTGAAATGCCATATCAAATTTATTATCCCAGGTAAGATTATCAAAACATTTCTTCAAATATTCTCGAAGAGTACCACCGTCTGCATATTCCATTACTAACCAATATTTTTTTGAATTTTCTTTACAAAAAAAAAATTATTTAATTTAGATTATACAGAAAATTATATATGATAAGAAAGCATGTTGTACGTACCTATTGTAACGCCAAAGAAACGAATAATATTCTCATGAAAATCCACTTCACGTTGAATTTTAAGCTAAATAGAATTTTAAATTAGAAACATATGAAACATATAAATTATAACGTAAAAAAATATTATATTATTACCTCCTTAACGATCTCTTTAATTGTGACGTCGTTGAAATCAGGGAAAGATTTTAATGCCAAATAATTACGAGAACTTTTCCAGTTCGCACGATAAACTTCCCCAAACCCTCCAAAACCAATTTTTTGTACATTTCTAAAATTATCGAATTCGTAATATTTAAAGTAATTTTTCGCAACAGCTTCTTCAATCCAATTAACCCACTCATTGTTAGAATTTTCAGTAAATCCTATAGGTATATTAGTTTCAGTGTTATTAGACATAATTGACTTATTAACTTTTTATTGACGAAGTTAAATAATTAAATAATTTAAATATTTTTTTTTTTAATACAATTTAAAGTTCGCTTATTTATAAGCTACTGGTATCACAAAACGTAATTGTGCATGAAAGTAACCTGTCGATCATTTCATAATGATACTTTTATAAACGAGAATATAATTGGTTGATTTGGTTCTTTAAGTGTAATTACATCACTAAAAGATTTGTTGGCTGACGATTAAAAGCTTAAATCAAAGTTAGTATAAGCGTATTATATAATTAGCTAAATATAGGGGATCAGTAAAAGAAAATCACTCAAAAATCAATCTTATATTAACGTTAACGTTAATTAACGTTAAACTGTCCTTTCGTTTTATTCCATGATGACGTTAACGCGTCACCTACCCAAGGGTCATATTACACTTATATAGCAGTGTTGGCATTTGGCCGCGGCCAAGAATTTTTTTGGCCGATTTGGCCGGCCAAAATGGCAAAACGGCCAATGGCCAACCCCGGCCAAATTTTGGCCAAAAAACAAAATACTAATACTTTATTAAGGCTGTATTGGCATTTGGCCGCGGCCAAAGATTTTTTTGGCCAGTTTGGCCGGCCAAACTGGCCAAACGGCCAAATGGCCAACCCCGGCCAAACGGCCAAGTGCCAACACTGATATAGGATACTTCTTTTGCTAAAAATTATGAGATAAAATTTTGGAAATCATAAGAAAAAAAGATTATATAAAAAATTAAACAAATAAATTTTTTTTCGTCAGGAATAATTAAACCAAAAAATGATCAACAAGTTGCAGTAATTGGTAGATCATTTTGTATTAAGTAATTACTAATCACCAATGAATTGATTTTCATTGATTTTTATTTTATTATACTACTAGCAGTTGCCCGTTTCTTCGCACCGGGAGTAGTAGTATTACTATATAATATTAACAAACTAACTAAAAAAAAATTTGTTGATACTAAAAAAAAAATTTTTACACGAATTTATTAGTCAGAAACAATATCATTGACAAAAAAAAATCTCATCAACATCAAAAAATTTGTAGGACATAGTTCTAATTTGATTATAGTTTTGATCCGATCTAAACTAAAAAAGAATAATAATATTCTTTTGGGTTAAAAAAAAATTCCAAAAATTTTGATAAATTCCGATCCAATAAAAATATAATAAAAAAAGAATAAGAAAAAATTTTGGTTAAAGTTAACCGAAGGGATAAAAAATTAATAAAAAAGATTAAAAAGGTAGTTTCAGTTTTTACGGTAAAATCCAATAGAAATGGTTAGTTGTGGTAACTAAGAGAGTGGTAATAACCGCAATTAATATACTTTTTTTTGTTAGTATTAATTTATTAGAATAAAAACAAATCCAGTTAAAATTTAATTAACCGGAAATGTATCAGTTTAAAGATTTTCTTAATTAAGATGATATGATAAATACGAAATAGATCTATGAAGCGCCATACTGATCAAAAGTCTGGGGTTTAAACCCCAGATCAAATCCCAGATTTATCCGGGGTGAAAATAGATTAATCCATATTTCATCCCAGATTTTCCTATATTTCACCCCGGATTTGATCCATATTTTATCCTGGATCTGATCCATATTTTATCCCGGATCTGATCCACATTTTACCCCAGATTAATTCCTTAAATTTCACCAAAAATTACATCACACCCAATTGTCAAACCCCGGATTAATCCATATTTCATCCCAGATTTAATCCATATTTTACCCCGGATTAATCCATATTTTATCCCGGATCTGATTTATATTTTATCCCGGATTTGATTTTATCTATATTTGATTTTATCCTGGTGATATAAATCCAACATTACGAAGTCAATTATTGATTTTAGCCAGTTAGAATTCTTGCCGATCAACCAATAAAATTAAATTCTCCTTACGCTGCTCTTTTTACTTAATCAATTTATTTTATTAAAAACTATTTAATGATAAAATTTTATAAAATTCTAATTATTAGATCATCATATAAAATACAANATTAAAATTATATCATATTAATAACCATAATATAACTACATGAGGAAGCATGATCTTGAACATCTGCATAATAGCATGGTTATTGGATAGAGATATTAGAAATAACCAAACTACTATTGATATGTTAATATGCTAAATAGTTTACATACATAGTAATTTATTATTGATGGCTTAACCCAGTAAGCATTACTGATCATTAAATTCATCCTTATCTTATCCTATTGGATAAGATTATTATGATTTGATTAATTAGTAATTTAATAAATATCTTTTTCTAATCTTGAGTCCTGAATATCATATGGGCATTTAGACAATATTTTGGTTAAAGTGATAATGGAGAAATTATACAAGAAATTGATTACACGGTCTTTGTTGAAATTAATCCTGAATCTCCTCTCTTAGATTTCAAGCAAAATCCTCAAGTACAAGAAGGCGGACTCTTTGAATTAAAGAATGATTCTGATACCCTTCTTTTATTTGTTATGTAGGATCCTACGGTAGGATGTGGGAGAATTTATAAGGAGTAGTTTAGGTGTTTTGTAAGTAGTTGTAGTGTGGTCCCAGATTTTTTTTTAGCTTTAGCTTTTTTCCTACCCTTATTTTTATTCCTTTTTGGTCATATTCTTTTTCCCCAGTACATTATTTTTATTTGTTTATTTAATTTTGTTTCTTCTTAACTGGTTGGGACGTGTTCCAGTTGAGATCTTCTAGAAATAACTTGATAGGTCTGGCGTTTGCTGGATGGTATTATATTATTAGGTCTTTCATTTTTACGATTTATCCTTGTTAAAATGTATCTCTTGATTTACAATAAATAAATAAATTATACAAGAAATTGATCAAATAACCTCTTGGTAACCTAAAAATGTTTTAAATTTCTAATTTAATCATATGAGTAAAAAATATTGCTTATTTGAACAATATATTGATCATAGAACTTTTAATCAAGTATAAGACTAATTTTAACCCAGGTGATTTAACCTACTAGTAAATTTTATATAATTATATGAATTATTCATCCCATCATGTGATAAATTTGATTGGACTAACTAATATTTATAGTTACACTATCTGTTTATATTATTTTTTTCATTTTTTCCTTCCCCTTTCTTTTTTTTTTTTTCTTAGTACATTTTTTTTAGGTCTTTAGGCTCTTCCAGGTTTTACAGTTTCTAATAGAATAATAGCCCTGTTCATTTCTGTTCTGTTCTGTTCTGTTCCGATTTTAGTGTAATTAATTTTAGCCAATTAAAAAAAGGCATAAATTGAGTAGAAAAATCGGGTTCAATCTGTTCCGTTTATTTCTAGCCAACCATATTAAAGCATGTATTGCATTTTCAAATTTCGGAACACTCGGATCATCAATTTTTTTAATCCGTTGTTCCGGTTGTTGTTCCGATTTTTAAATGAATTTGATTGGCTAAAAACCTGTCTCTTATACACATCTAGATGTGTATAAGAGACAGGAATTAATCTGGGGTAAAATGTGGATCAGATCCGGGATAAAATATGGATCAAATCCGGGGTGAAATATAGGAAAATCTGGGATGAAATATGGATTAATCCATTTTCACCCCGGATAAATCTGGGATTTGATCTGGGGTTTAAACCCCAGACTTTTGAACAGCATGGCGCCTCATATAGATCGGGCGCAAGAATATCACACTTTTCAATGTTACACAATTCAAATTATTTATATGGGTAATCTAAATATGACTCAATTTTTTTAATTAGATTGATTTTATATTATATTGCTTTACTAAATAGTTTTTTTTATTGCGTTATAATAGATTATATTGTTAGTGTATTTTTATTATATATATATATATATATATATTGTTTTAGTAAGAATTTTTTTATTTATTTGACAATTTATAATTAGCTGTATATTGAATTATTGAATAAATACGATCAACACACATTCTCAATTTTTTTAATGGATTTTTATTTGATTTTTTCTATTGATATTTTTTATAATTATATATTTTTCCAAAAAAAATTCTGAAATTTTCAGAAAACTATACACTCTCTCTTTAGAAATTAGAATAGTATGGATTGGTGGCGATGTTTTAAAAATTGTGTAATAATTTATTCGCGATTGTTATTCTCAAATATTAATTTTTTTGTGTTTACCCAATAAAATTGCTCTAAAATTATGTCACGTGATGAACAGAGAAATTTTACCATTTAAAAATTATTAATAAGAATAAATGCATTGATTTTATCCAAATAGTATTTATTTGTTATAATATGTAAACTGATACAAAATTTGATGCGTGATCAGATGATAAAAGTTTTTGTTCTTAAAAATCAAAACCCATGTATCATAGCTTGAATTTATTTTTCATTATAGGAACGAAAGGTTGAGTTATTTTAACAAATTAATATTTTTTGTTATATTATTTTGAATCATATTCATTGTAGTAAATTTTTTTTATAATAATAAATTACATTGTTTTTTTATATAACGTGGTAGTATGCATCCCAAAGTTTTTATTTAAAAATGCATGTAACGTATTCTTGATACACGTATTGGATAATGATTTAATGGTGATTACTTAACCACATAGGCAGATTTCTGCAAATAAATAAACAATTTATTCAATAAAAGTAATATATTATATAATTTCTTGCCAGGTTTTATATTTTAACTTCAACTTCAAACCTTCTGATTATTTATATATCCTTTGTAAAGTACTTTTGTAAAGTGCTAATAATTAATCAAGTTCAATTGCAAAGATTACGAATGGTACAAAAAATACTAAATTAAACAAAGACATTTTTGAAAGTCACCATAATGTTTCATTCTATTTTATCATGATCTCATGGCCCATTTTCAATAAATGCAAAGCCTCTTCAAAAATGGTAAATGTTAGCTTAAAGTTAAAAAAGAGCAGTACAAGTGCTCTTATGCTCAAATACTGATGGCCAAAAATCAGGCCAATCAGTTTTATTTTTGAGGTGAGGTAAAGACAAATCTGAATATTGATATTTTTCACATTTATTAAAATTATATCATATTAATAACC